GTTCAAAACTCCAGTACCAGAACATAAAAGCTGGGCATGGTGGATCATGCCTGCAATCCCAGCTACACAGGAGACAGGGAACATGACTCAAGTGGTAAAGTGCCTGCCTAGCAAGAAGTATGAAGCTCTGATTTCAAACCTCAGTTTTGTCAAAAAAAAGAAAAAAAACTTTCCACAGAGTTTCATCAAATAATAGAATACATGGATTTAGAATGTATGGATTTAAAGACCAAGGTGAAATTTTTAAGTCATCCTGAATTTCAGAATGGACTCTGTTATTAACAATATAATAAAATTATTTAATGACTGAATCTGTTATAATAAAACTTTTAATATTTTAAAATGCTAAATTGTTTGCCACTACACATGGAAAAGTAGCCCTTCTGGATTTGGCTACTACCTCCTACCCAGAGCCCACAGTAATAGGCAATCAGAAAATAGCTGCTGAATTACATAGATGTAAGCAATAATCCTACTTCATGAACTTAACTTAGACCTAGACTTTAACTGGGGAAAATATTAAAGTACTTTTTCCCTTAAACAATGACAGGATTTACTCACTCCTCCAATCCCCAGTGAATGTATCTTTTGTTAGTGTTTTGTTACTAGGTAACCCCTCAACTTTACTTAAATTAATATTAGTAGCAGCAGTAATAGTAATAGAATGGTAATAATACCTAACACTTACATAACACTTAACTAAGTGATACATTCTGTCCTATGGCCCTTTTATGTAACTAATGCATTTAATACTTAGTTACCCTATGAACAGGATATACTACTATTTTCATTTAACAAATAAGGAAACAAATAGGATACAAAGAGGTAAAGCAATTTATCCAATACCCCATGGCTAGTAAGTAGCAGAGCCAGAATTCAAATCTACATAGCCTGTTCTCAGAGTAAAAATAATTCATTTTATGGAGGATATTAAATTACACATAAATAATACTGAGGACACACAAACAAAAACATAAGAACATTCACCCGGTTTTTCTTTCTTTTAAAACCTGAGCCACAAAATGACAATATATATTTCAAACTGCATATATAAAAAGACTGCAAGGACTTTAAATATACTTTATTTTTCCTACCATATAGTCCCAAAACTAAACTTTCTCTTGTTTTTTTCCAGCTCTTAGAAGTGAGAAGTGAAACTACTACATTCGCATAGATTAAATTTATGGCTAAGAACTAAGAGTGCCTATGTACACATGACCACTATTCAGTGCCCAGAAAATTCTTGCCCAGAAAGATAAGGATGTAAATCAGTAAATAACTTCATTGTCTGCCTCAGGAACTTCCCCCAAACCCTTTTACTGCAACAATGGACTACTCAAACAGTCCCCCTTTCACAATTTCCTCTCAAACAGGCAAACAACTCACTTATCGAACAACAGTATTTACAAAACTTAGTTAGATCCTTGACTCAATGTTTCCACTGACCCTAAACTCTGGTATGATGAACTTTGCACAATCTCAATCAGATGACTGCATGGAAAGACTGACCTTCAGCCTCCCAAGGGAAGAACCCAGACTCTCTAATATTTACCCATTACCTCTTCCTTGTAGAGTCTACAAAGACTCCATCAAGTGTGTGCTCTTCCTTACTGCACTAGCAATGAACTTAGCTTTGCTTGGTCAACCTGTCACTCTGGCCATTAGGGGGAAGTCTGCAGTCAACAGATTCCATTTTAGCTGCTCTATAATCTACAACTTTTTAAATCTCTTCTTTCATGCCTAGACTAGGCCATGGGTAAAATTAAAAATACCTGGATATGGGGTTATTACAGAAAAAGATAAACATACACCAGCAATTGAGAAGGGAAAAATAAATTAATAATAAATTCAATATGAGACTTCAAATTGCATTTTACTATTCCCACAGTTTAACCGGAGTTAGGTTAATTAGATGTTTCAAAATGATCTTAAAGTATCCCTGTAATCGAAGGAAAAAGGGTTTTTAAAACTTTTATTAGCATATATTCATTGTATATAGGGGATTCATTGTGCCAGTTCCAAAGTCTTACATTGTACATTGGTTAGATTGCCCCCATAGAAAAAGGATTTTCAAAATAACTGGAATGCCAAAGTGTATGCTGCTATTTGAATAGATTTAACAAAAATTTCTTTGGCTTTTATTAATTTACATATCCTAATGTTATATATCAAACACAAAAAGGAGGTGGGGATATAAGCTCAGTGGTACAGTGCTTCCCTAGCATGTGTGAGGCCCTGCATTCAATCCCCAGCACATTAAAAAAAATGTAGTCAATCTTTAAAGAATATCTCTGATCAAAAATGATTTAAGCCTATATAAATATAAAAATTATACATATATATTAAAACTGGTGATTTTGACATGACATTTTATGTATATATATACACTACTTTATTAGACCTCAATTATATTTATCTGTATAATTATTAAGGTATATAGCAAAACCTACACCTATATACTTCATTAGTACATATAGTATTTATTCTAATACTACTTTATTTTATCACAGTCTCGCTCCATGAATCACATTTTTCTTTATAAAAGATTAAATCAGATAAATATCTAACTGAATAAAACATATTGTGATACCAGAGATAAACTTTTTTAAAAGTTGAGGACTTTATATATTGTAGATTTTTTTGAGACAGGTTCTCACTGGCCTTGAACTCGAAACATTCCTGCCTGAGTCCCCTGAGTGATGGGATTACAGGCATAAACTACCATCCTGGTTAAAAGTTGAGGACTTTAAATAAGAACTTGTATGATTACATTCAATATGCATGATATTTTATATATGCATATATATATACATATATATGTACAATCTATAAAAATTGGGATCTTATATTACACTCATTTTTCCTACCTAGGGATATATATATATATACATATACATATATAAACACAAACATATGTGCACATACATCATGCAAACAGGAAATGTGTATGTTACATAGTGTGTATGTGTGTATGTATATATATATACATCCATCATACACACACACACACACACACACGCACACTTCAATTATTTTCAGAGATTGTCAGCCATTTATATTGCTATTGCTTCCTGTGGAAGAGTTACCAAACTCTTCCTATGGAAGAGTTACATATGATGTTTTTGTTTTTGTTACTATAAGAGAAAAGGATGCAATGGCTTAAAAAAAAAAAAACAGGTTTGAATCCTGGGTTCCCTACTCCAATTTCGGTAAATAATCTCATGGAACCTCAACTTGCTTATCTGGAAAAGAATAATAAATCCATCTATGTGACATACTTGCTCTGACAATTAAAGAAGAAATGTATAAGGTACCAACCAATCTGCTACCCAGCCCACAGTGGTAAGTTCTCCTTAAAATTTTGTTCCCCATCATGCATGTTAGTTCCCTTTAATTATGACCCTAGATAATATCTATAACATATTAAAGTACTTTCTAAATAATTAAATAAGTATTAATTTTGCAATAAAATCTTTAAGGCTCATATCCATTAAACCAATAATTCTACTTCTAGGACACTAGCCAGAGGAAATGATTAGATGGCATCAAATATTTATGCAAAAAGATATCCTTCAAAGATTTATTTATTAATACGGGTCTTTGAGGCAGGGTCTTGCTATATAGCTTATGATGGCTTTGAACTTACTCTGTAGTCCAGGCTGGCCTCAAACTTTCAGTCCTCCTGTCTGTGACTCCCAAGTGCTGGGATTATAGGCATGTACCACCACACCTGGCTCAAAGTTTTATTTTTAATATAAAAAACTAGAAATCATCTAAGTATCCAAATATTGTACATGATCTATATTACTAGTATAAAATATTAAATGAGGTATTAAAATATTCATAAAGACTTAAGGGCAGCCAAAATGCTCACAAAAAGTAAATTAAAGCAACAGCTTACAGACATGCATCTCAGCAACATTACAATTACTTGTATGTGTCACAAGATAGACACACACACATACAAATCCAGAAGAAAAGGATTGGAGCAAATGCAAAAATATTAACAATGACTATCTCTGGATGATAGAAAAGAAAGAAATTTTTTGAGACAGGGTCTGGCTATATAGTCCAGACTGGCCTCAAAATTGTTATGTGGGCCAAAATACCTTGAAATCATGATCCTCCTGCCTCAGTGTCCCAAGTGTTGGGATTACAGGAATGAATCACCACACCCAGCTTAGGTAACCTTTCATTGTTATATACATGCATATTCTTTCCCCCAGTTTTTCTACTGTACACATCAATTACTTTGATGCTTACAAAGCATAAAATCTAAAAATCCATTTAACTCTGTATCTTATTTAGTATAACCTAGCTTTCAAGGGTGATCTTTATAATTCTTCCCCACCTCATTGCCAAAAATATTTGGAATAGATGATAGAAATCCATACAATAGACTAAAATAAGTAGATGAAAAAACAGATAAAAATAAAAAAACTTACAAATGCTCAATTTACATATATTCATGTGTACATATGTACACACATATATGTATATATGCATATATATGCATATATACATATATATGTATATATGTCATAGAACTTTATCAGATACTGAGAACTGAAGGAAATTTCTCTAGCCTTCTTAGGAAGGCTGAGGTAAACAGGTAAATAGATGTGGTAAACATTGTTTAAATAATACATTAGGAGTGCTACATAAGTGAATTAAATGAATCTCAGCTATGTGACTGGAAAGACAGGAGGGACATTAAAAGTCCCAAGATTTGTTAACAGGATAAATGAATATGGCCATGATGAACAACCTGAGGAATACCCTCTAAAAATGCACAGATATCAAGAGATAGAGATTTTGACAGATTTTTTCCTTATAATTTGTCATTTTTTATTTATGTCTCCAAAGAAAAAATTGAAATAGTAAAAGTATACTTTAATTTCATCATGTAAAATACATCAAGAAAATAAAAATTAACAAAATAAGCTATCACATTCACAAGATGCATTGGATATACTGTAGTAACAACTCAGTTCACTTACCTTCACTGATAGCATGGGGCTTAATAATACAACAGGTACAATTGGTAAATTTAGCAGTGTTTGCTGGCCCACAACCTCCACTTGAAGGAAAAAATAACTCCATTTCCTAAAGACAGAGGGAGATGAGAAAGAGGATTTCAACAAATACGATCTCTTTTCTTAAAACTTACAGAACTTTGGGGGGGGGGTGCAACTAAAATTAAAGTTTTACAATATAAATTATTTGTTTCAAATTTTCTAATTATGAGTTTTACAAAGACTAACTGGTCAACTTAGCCCTGTTTCAAGACTTATAATCAGAAGAACATATAAAGAAGTATTAATGAAAGCAATGAAAATAGAGGTCATTCTGTTCTGGATGATAACTAATAAGATCTTAACAAATTTTGAATATTGGAAAACAAAGTTTTTAGTTTTCTCAAAGCATAGTTCTCAAAGATACAGATCTCACAGATCTAACTTTAAGTGTATCATTAAAATACTAAAATGAAGTTAAAGCAAGGAAACAGAAATTAATGTTTAGGAATCTGATAACTACAGTTAGTTAAAACTAATTTACTAGAGTTCTAGTATAAATCAAAATGACTCTTATTTTATAGCCTGATTCAAACTTGATTCAGGCCACTGTGCTAATAACTTTGCACATAATTCAATAAAATGACAAACCAGCAATGTGAACTAGCCATTAAGATGGTCACATTAATCTGTTCTTTTAGTTATTCACAGGCCTTTCTAAGCCCTAAGACTTTATTACTATTATTTCCACTATTCTCTATAAAGCCCTCTGTGCCAAGCTTCTAAAAACCTACCAGTACATGAAGGACAACTTCAAATACTATCTCCTCTAGGAGGCTTCTCATGGTGCCCCCAGCTAGCACTTTGTACTCCCTCAAAGTTGCCTTCTACCAAATTATAAATGTGAAGAAAGGAACTAACTAGCTTTGTAGGCTCCAAAGTATGTTTAAAAGTACCTGGCTCACATCATTAGCAACACCACCAACAATAGGTGTTGGCGAGGATGCGGGGAAAAAGGAACCCTCTTACACTGTTGGTGTGAATGTAAACTAGTACAACCACTCTGGAAAAAAATTTGGAGGCTACTTAAAAAGCTAAACATTGATCTACCATTTGATCCAGCAATACCACTCTTGGGGATATACCCAAAAGACTGTGATACAGGTTACTCCAGAGGCACCTGCACACCCATGTTTATTGCAGCACTATTCACAATAGCCAAGTTATGGAAACAGTCAAGATGCCCCACTACTGATGAATGGATTAAGAAAATGTGGCATCTACACACAATGGAATTTTATGCAGCCATGAAGAAGAACGAAATGTTATCATTCGCTGGTAAATGGATGGAATTGGAGAACATCATTCTGAGTGAGGTTAGCCTGGCCCAAAAGACCAAAAATCTATGTTCTCCCTCATATGTGGACATTAGCTCAAGGGCAAACACAACAAGGGATTGGACTTTGAGCACATGATAAAAGCGAGAGCACACAAGGGAGGGGTGAGGATAGGTAAGACACCTAAAAAATTAGCTAGCATTTGTTGCCCTTAACGCAGAGAAACTAAAGCAGATACCTTAAAAGCAACTGAGGCCAATAGAAGGGGGGACCAGGAACTAGAGAAAAGGTGAGATCAAAAAGAATTAACCTAGAAGGTAACACACACGCACAGGAAATTAATGTGAGTCAACTCCTTGTACAGCTATCCTTATCTCAACCA